CCTTCAAGCTAACTCACAAGCTGCCAAAAGAAAGGTCAGCTGGAAATTACAGCCAGCTCCCTGCATGAGTTCAACTCAGGTACAAGGAGGGAATGAAAAAAACCAAAAGTCTACCTTTGCATGCACAACCCTTCCACAGGGCAAGAGCTGTGTGTGCAGCTGGAAGTGCAGGGAAGGGACAGCCCCATGGGGGTACAGGCACATGATGGACCTGCCCCTCTCCGGCTGAACAAGGGCAGAGCCACAGCAGGGAGGGGGAGAGGAGCAGGAGGCTCTGCAGAGCTGAATCACTCCATTATATTGGACCAAGAGAAGCATCTCTGTGTCCCAGAGCAGCGGGTACAAGCAGTGCCATTCTGTGCTCACTGCCACTTGATCCCCTGCACTGCTGACACCTACAGAAACCCAGCAGCCCCCACCCCTCCTGGCTTTCTTTGCAAAAGGAAAAATCAACACCAGTAAGCCATCAAAGTCCAAGTGGGAAAAGTAAATACCCTCTTAGCCTCCCCTCCAGGAGGCAAGTAACAACCCCCCCTGGGAGCCCTTGGTGGCTGAGTGACCTCTGTGGCACAGCAGCCTCTCCAGCAAACAGAGCAGTGAGAGGCTCTGCAGCAGCTGGCACACTCCACACTTCCCAGCAGCTTTGATGTAAAGAGCCCGAGTTCATTAAACCGTTGGCCTGTGTGTGATTGCCAAGGCTACAGCACAATCCCCTGCTCTTCATGGCTGCCTGCTGCCTCCAGCTCCTGCCCAGCCCCGCCAGAGCCTTTCCCAGAGCACAGAGGATGCCCTGCTTGACTGGGGACAGGCCCTGAGGGGAGCAGGGTCCTCTGCAGCAGCACTTGTCACCAACCCGCTCCAGTGGCACAGCCGGGTCCTGCACACCCTGTTCCAAGGTGGGGAGAGACAGGAAAGTGCCTTAAGTGCCAAAGTGGGCATCTGGGTTATTTCAGGGCCTGCCTCTTTTTTCATGCAATGTACAGCGTTAAAAAAAAAACCCAGAGCAGCGTGTAATACAAAAAGCAGTGTGTAATACAAAAAGCAGTGTGTAATACAAAAAGCAGTGTGTAATACAAAAAGCAGTGTGTAATACATGCAGTAGCTGATGCCACAGAGGACAAGCTTCCCCCTCACTTATTTCAATGCAAAGGTGTGTGGGAGAAGTGTGGAGTCATTCTTAGAGGCTTAAAGAGCAATTTGAGCCTCAACAATTTTGCAAACCTCCTCCTCCCTTCCCCCCACGTGTCCTCAAAGAGCACAGATTGGTGTTTTTGAAAGTTACTGCTCAGGATGTGGGAAGGGATGGAGCGAGGCGGGCTGTTTGTCAGGCTGAGCCTGCCTCCCTGCACCACCCCCACAGGTGCCAGCACAGCAGTGGCACCACTGGAGCTGAGCCACTCACTAGGGATGGGCAAGACAGAGCCCCATTTGCTGTGTGGCCTTGGGGACACCGGGATCCTTCCTCAATCCAGGCCAATGCCATCAGACTGGATGAGCCCCTTTCAAGGGAGCTGGGGATGGTGTCAGAGGACAGCCTGGAGCTACCCTCTGCCCCAGGGCACAGCCTGGCTGCCAGTTTCCCCCCAGCAGGGACATGCTGCTCCTCCTCACCTTTTTTTTTTTTTTTTTTTAATGTACTTCTTCAAAAAGAAGAGATAACAGCATTGCTGCAGTGGGGGAAGGCAGGCACAGAAGAGTCCTCTGAGGCAGAAGCAAATTCCTCCCTTCCTCAACTCATTTTTGGCAGAGACATCCCCTGTGTGGATAAGGCCTCTGGGGGCATGGCAGGAAGGCAGCCCCTCCAGCTGACCCCAGGGCCTTCCACAGCCCTACCCTCCCTCCGTTCTGCTGTTTGCTTTGTGGTGGGAGAAGGTGGGCACAGCCACCCCTTACCTGGAATAACAGGCACAGATTCACCCTGGGGGGTTTTTGCATGGTTTTTTTTCCTCTGCAGGACCATGCCAGATGTCACCATTAACCTTTGCTTGTGGTGCTCTGTCACAGGTGGCTGCTGGTGCTGGCCAGGGCAGGAGCTGTGTGCTGGCAGTGAGGGCCAGCAGCTGGGCTGGCCTCATTCTCCTTTAGGAGTCCTTGCATGGAAATGTTTCCAACTCCCCTAACTCACCCTGGGCTCCTGCCACCACCATCAGTGACCTCCCCACCCCACACCCCAAGAGCCAGCAGGCCAGCCTGCCTCAGTTTCCCCTCCCAGGTGGCTCAGCCCTGCAGGGAGGCACCCAGGGAATACCCACATGGGGCACTCCATCTGTCTGGGGCTCCTTCATGCTTTTTTCAGGAAAGGCCAGGACAGCTGAGAGCTATTCCTGGAAAGCCTAAAAATGCCACAGCTGAGTCAGCGTCGAGGCTCTGTGTGCACAAGGCCATCAAGGGCTCCCCCAGCACAGCCCTGCAGGGCTGAGCTGTGCCAGGGCACTGTGCTGCCAGCAGCCCCTCAGAGGAGGCAGACAGACAGGCAGACACAGAGGCAGGGACGTGGAGGAGCAGCCTGGCTCCCTCTGCTCCACCAGCCCAGACACGCATCAATGTCACAGGGAGGGCTGTGACAGCAGACAGCTCTCTCTGTCCCTGTGCCGCAGGCTGGAGCAGTGCCAGCCCCCAGGGCTTTTGTTCCACATCCCTGCAAGCCAGCACAGCAAATGTAAGGGTCAGCTTCAAAGCCATCTCTGCTGGTGGACTCGGGTCTAAAGGCAGCATTGACACTGTCCCATCTCCATCCCACTGCTCCCCTTCCATCCTCTCAGGGGTCCAGCTGTCCCGTCTGGATGCAGACATGGGACAAACCTGCAAGTCCAGGGTAGTAATTCCTGAGCATGAAGGGCAAATCCCTCGTGGCTGCAATCCCACACACACAGGGACTGCCCACCCTCTTCCCCTCTGCTTCCCCGCAGCTGGGAACCAGGCTGAGAGCTCCCAGCAGTTGGGTCCACACAAAAAGCTGGACACAAAAAGCTGAAGATCAGAGGTCAGTGACTGTGAGTACCTAGCACACTGCTCCAGACCAACTGATGATACCTTGGCTGGGCTTTCCTCAATCTCACTGCAGCTCTGCAAGGCAGGACAGGAGCAACACCACAACACACCTCAATTTCCAAACACACAACTCCACAGGGACAGATTTTCCCTTCAATTCTCCGAAGGTAAATAATGCACTGCTGTATCTTGCCTCACCTGCCTGCAGCTGTGGCAGCTCTGGGAGACACCAACTGGCCCATTCAGTCCCACTCACAGCCCAGGCTCGTGGCTCTCCAGTGACCAGCTCCAGTGCCGAGCCAGCAGCCCAGCCCTGCTGCCAGCCCCAGGCACCCGCTCCAGGCTGGCAGAGCCTGTGATACCAGTGGGTGACAGACAGCAGCACTGCCCCGGGAGGTATACAGGAGTCTGGGTCCCAGAAAACCAACAGCAAATAGACCAGGGTTTTCCACAAACACTTGAAGAACTGCGACTTACCAAATTTTGGCCACATTTGGATGTCAGGGCTTCAAAGGGCACACTTCAGCACATGGCTTTTCTTTCCATCCTTCCCAATTCACTCTAGTCCTAGTTATCAAGGGGATGGCTCCCAACGGCAACCTCACAAAACTGACTGCCAAAGCAGCTATCAGAGTTTTCCAGAGGCTGCAGACCTAACAAACAGCACACCCACCTCTTCCCACTCCACCTTCCTGCCTGGCTTTTGCCACTGCCCAGCTTGCCCAGCACACAGATCTGACCACAAGCTCAAAGCTCTCCATCAAATCATTAAATATTAGGAACAAAAGTTGGAAGGGGCATTTTTCAGTGCAGTTGCAGGTTTAAACCTCTCCACAAGTCCACACCCACTTGCAGCCTACAACTCCCGACTCTTCTAAGCCCAATGGCCTGTAGCTCCTTACAGAGCCCCTGTGACTGTGTCCCCACCCTGACAGCCACAGCTGGGCTCTCTGTGCTCAGCACATCCAGAATCGGGCAGGAATGTTTCCCACTGCCCGCCCAGGCAGTTTATCTCTGACTGCAGCCCCCAGGCTGTGATCCAAGAGCCAGCCAGCCAACTGTCTCCCTTGGCAGGGACCTGAGAGCAAACAGCCCTCTCACCAGTTGCTGCAAGAATGAGTTCAGTCTCCCCACGATGCTAAAAACTCTGCTTGGAAAATTGCTGAGCCAGCAGAAACTGCCATTTCAGTTTTACCTATTTCCTGTTATTTGACAAAACAGTATCAGAGGGCTGAGCTCCTGCTACCCTGGGCTTTTGCTATGTTCCTGTTACAGCCAGTGCCTTCAGCAGGTGAATACTACTAGCACATCTTGATTTCAACAGGAGCCAGGGCACAGCATGAATTATTTGTGGTAAGGCTGACCTATTTAACAGCAGAAAGACAGCATTCATTCAGACACAGATCCCCCAGAGGCTGCTGGTGTCACTTTACCCACAGGACAATACAACCCCATCACCATCTCTGTCCATCTCACTGGAAGCAGGGGTAACTGTCCTAGGCTGATCCTGCCACACTCCCAGAGCTTCTCCTGGAGCACAAGTGACACAACCACAACCCCGTTCACAGCAAACCACTGGCTTCTGCTCACCAGCTTTGATCAGTGTTTTGTGAGCACCATAAACACACATGGGAAGCAGAGCAGGGTGAATTTACAGAGTATTGAAACAGGGAGCAGTCCCTGTGACAGCTCTGCTTCAGGCAGAGCAGGGTGAACCCCCAGAGCCTTGAGATGGGGAGCAGTCCCTGTGACAGCTCTGCTTCAGGCAGACCAGGGCCAGAGGATGCCAGCAGTGTTTGCAGGGTAGCTGCCAAGTTCTGCTCAGGATCCTTCCCTGAACAGCTCCTGCTAAGCTCTTGTAGTCTCTAATCCTGGCTCCCATCCTCTGTGCACAGGCCAAGGCAGCCTGTGAGGGGTATTTCACATAGAGAGGATGCTGAAGTCTTGGTGATACATTTCTGTAAAGCTTTTCTGAACACAGATCTGCACCAGGCCTTTGAGGACCATACCTTTGTCTGCCAGGGACAGCGTGCTGTTGAAGTACTGCTCCTCCACAGTCCATGCTGTGTCATTGATCTTGTTGGACACCCCACAGGATCCAATGCAGCTCACCTTGATGGCTGTGGAGAGACAGGACACATGTCAACACTGGGAGAAAGCAAAACCTCAGGTACTGCACTGTGCAGGAGCAGTGCCTCATGAAAACACACACAGGGTGGGAAAATGGAGCAGAGGAATCAGGTCATGCTTTCACTCCAAAAGCAGGTTTTCCAGCATTCCCAGCACAACTGAGCACTCCCTGCTACCCCAGTGCTATTCCTACATATTGTCATCTTTGAAACCCTCAAGCTGGTTTCCTTGCACTGTGGAAACCCTTACCACCAGTGATTGCAGCTCCCTGACAGGCAAACCTCTCTCCCAAATGAAGCAGCGTTCCCTCCCAAAACATGCACCAGCCTTGGCACTCTGGCTAAGAGCAGAAGCCTTGGGTGTCACTGTCCAGACAGGGATGAGCAGCCAAGGATTCTGCTGCCTCCCACCCCACGAGGAGCCAGGCATCCCACCGAGTGTCTCACCATCCCTGTGAGAGACACATTTGGCACAAGCCCATTAACCAGATGAACAAGGGGTTCAAACAGCCCTGTCTGAGGCAACAGCAGAGAGCTGGACCCCCCAATACAGCCTGGACAAGCTCTCTGCTCCTTGAATTCAAGCCCTGAGTACTGTGACCCTCAGAGGACATTTCCAGCCCCTGGGAGCCTGCCCCCAGCTCCTGGGCTCAGTCTCATCTTTAATGGCGTGCAGAAAAAATCACTTTGCCATTAACTTGTCCTGCATCAGGACCTCCAAAATGTCCATCCACACATCACTTCCCAGCCAGACACCAGTTCTAAGGGAGTGGCTTCCTCCTCTGTTAGAGACACAGCACTCAGCAAAGCCACACAGCAAGGCCTGGAAGCATCAGTGGTGCTGTCTGACCCTCCCAAAAGCAAGGACAGTAATTTGAGCTATGTTTGTGCCTTGCCTGGAGAAAGTCACCCCAAGAGCTCAGCCTGCAGCACGGCTCTCAGAGGAGCTCCCCACAGGCATCTTCAGCTAGTCTTGGCCAATACTCAGCAAGATGAAATTAGATTCTGATGTCGACACTGGACCACAGAGACAGACAAACGTGACAGACTGGCCTTGCTGCACAGCAAGAGATGATCTGCACTGCTACCCCCACACAGGGAGGACACAGGCAGACCTATCGTGGCACAAACAGTGTTCAGGGCTGTCCCAGCCTGAACATCTGTCACCTGAATCCCATCAGGTTTTGCAAGATCTTAACTGGAGCCACAGAACTCCCTTACCCCATTGGCCAGGTGAATAGGTCTGCTGGCAGAAAGGTGACAGGATCCACCAGACAGACACTTTGCCTGTTTGACCCATCTGCTCCCCTGTATTCCAGCTGTATCCACAGGAAGCATCTCTCTGGGTAGAAGGTGGCCAGTTTGCCTTGGCTTAGGAGCTTTCCTCTCACCAAGTGTTCTCAGCCCTCTTGATATCAACACCTCCACCCACTTACCCAAACACCGAGGACTGCATGTTATTGCTGCTTGCAAACACCTCAAACAGCTCTCCAGAGCACCTGCCTGGCCAATGTGACCTTGTCTTCCACACTGACTCAAGACAGGAACCCCAAATCCAGCCCTCTCTGCAGGGACAACACATAGCTCACACCCCAGTCACAGCGAGGGGAGTCATGCAGACAGGTGGAATGAGCTCCTCAGGGCTTAAAGTCTATAATCCCACAAGGAAGAAGAGCCTCCCCCATCAGATCTCCTGCCATGCCCTCACAGCTGATCATGACTGTGAGATGAAGAGCCCCTTGCAGTCCAAGTGCTGCTCTACACTCAAGGACGAAGGATAAGCAGCTCCAGATGCCAACTCTCATTATCCAAACATCGATACAGCAGCGAGGCTGACACATCACTGCCTTGTGTCTGGGATGTGCTTCAGCATTTGCAAGGCAGGGCAAGAACAGGATAGCATGGCCTGGGATGGGAACTCCCCCACCACAGCACAGAGCACACCTGAGCTGATACAGGTGCCCTCCCGAGGTGAACCATCACAATGAACCCTCCCCACATCCCCAGGTGATATCCAATACTCTCTTTTGGCAGGTGGCAGAGCTAAAGCCAAGGAGGGGCCTCAGTATCAGGAGCAGGAAAGGTTTTAGCAGGGTGGTGTCCTGTGTATCTACACATTGGTGCCAAGCTCCCACCTCGGACATACTGCCACATCTCTGGGCTCACAACAAGCCTGTCCCACTCTGAATTAGCCCACATAACACAGATGGATCCAGTCAAACCAAGCCCAGACTCACCCACTCCGTTCCCTCATTTTCACACAGGAGATGCAAGCAAGAAAAGCCCAGCCAAAAACTGGAGAACGTTCACATCCTTCAGGAGCAACAGCCCCTGAGCAGGCTCCCCCTCAGCCTCCCTGCACAGCAGGAGTTTATAGATCACCACCATCTGCTCAATGCCCAGAGAAGGTCCCACAGGCTCCGATTGCAGCTCCATGCTGCACTGTGGTGAGGAGGCTCTCCTGCTCCAGGGAGGCAGGTGGGTGGGAATGCTCAGGAGCACAGGCTGTGGCACAGCTCCCTTCCCACAGCAGACAGGCTCAGCAAGCAGAGGCAGTGGTTTTGCAGTCTGACACCCACAGCCAGTCTGTGGCTGGGGCCCTCCCGCCATGGTCAAGCACCAGGGCTAAAGTCAGACCATGTCCAAAAATTCCTCTACAGCTTACTGAGGAGTCTTCCAGCAGAGGAGCTGTCAGCTCCAAGGTTTCCCAATTAATCACTGACATCCCAAACTGGCATGGTCACAGCCAGCCTGTGCCTAGAGAGGAAGGACAGTCCCTGGAGGGATTGCTCTGGGGCTCTGAGGGGTTCCAGACCTTCAGCCCCACCAAGCCCTCTCCAGCCACATTCCCTGACCATCACACACCTTGGAGTTGCCATTCCAGCCCCAAGCAACAGAAAGCAGCATTTCAGGCCGAAAAGTTTGAAGGAATTTCACTCTCCCCTTCCCCCATGCTCCCCAAAGTTCCCAGTGTCCCCTCACCAAGCACACCAAGTCACCACACTTGGGACAAGCCTTGGAGCAGTTCAGGGGGCAGAGATTTGTTACAGAGCATCTTCTCCAACCTGCTCCAGACACATGAGCTCCCCCTTACCTCACTGGGGAAAAGTGGGGTGGACAATAGCTCTGAGCTATTGCCCCACAGCTGACAGTGTGGCTGGACACAGGGATTGCATAACCCACCTCATCCCCCAGACTCCTGGAGGAGCCAGCAGATCCCTAGGCCCCTGCAGGGTGGGTGATGCTGGGGGCAGCAGGTCCAGGACAGCCATAGAGCTCCCCAGTTTCACACCCAGAGCAGGAAAGACTGGAAGATAGAGGGCCAGGTTATTTGGGAGGTTTCAGAGGTGCCTGGTTAAACAGATCAAACCACTCATCTCACTCCTAACCAGGTTTTGGAACAGTGGACCATAAAATCAGCCTCTCCATGAGCATCCCATGGGCAGAGGGAGATACTGGGGACTTGCCTGGCTCTCTCTTGTACAGGCTCCTGCCCACAACAGGAGGAGGGACATGGATGTGTGACAAGCACAGCTCAGGCACATGGCTCTGGGGGCAGCTAGAACCCAAAAACATCACTTGTCAGGATAGACCTGGCAAAACCAGCACCATCACAGCTGCTGCAAGGGAGCCACCTGAGCACAGAGCTTGTCAGCCTGCTTGTCAGGAAGCAAAATGCACAGTCTGAGCCTTTCCAAGGAAATCTTGGAACTGCCAAGCTGAAGACAGAGGAAATAAGAATAGTTTGTGCATCAGAACAGGCCAGTTCCAGTTATTAGAGACCCATTAAAAATGCCTCTGGAATCCAGTGCTACCAGTGGCCCCAGTCACCTCCCCTCTGCTCCCTGTTTACCCAGGCTGATTTGAATAAATACAGGAAAAAAACAAAGCCCAAAAACTGTAAAGGGAGGGGAAGGGGGAGGCAAAGAGAAGAAATGAATGATGAAGCCATGCAGAAGGCGAGAGCCCTTCACCCCCAGAGTCCCTCAGGGACTCAGGGAAGACGACAGCTCCACATCCAGCCAGACACATCTTTAGCAACGCGCTGCAGCACGCGCCAAATGCTGGAAATAAAAGGAGACAGCTCAGCCATATCCATCTCTGCACAAAGTAAAAATAGAGATGCCAGGAGCTGGGCACGTCTGCCTTCTTCCAAGGTGATTTAAGGAGAGCAGCCATAGATTTCAAACTGCTTTTTCTTCTGACCCAGTGAGTTGTCCTCCTCAGGGGAGCTGGTGTGGCATCTCAGGCATGAGGAAAGGACAGCACACACATCCCCTCCTCTGCCAGGGGCAGGTTGTGTGCACATCCCTCCTTCCAAAATCCAGCCACATGCTGAGTAAGCAGAGGCTCAATAGTCACCCTGCACTCAGCCCCAGTGCCAAGTGAACACCCCTGACTTTCAAGTCCCACCTGTGTCACACACCTGCTACAACAGGTATGGGCAGAGGGGGAGGGAAGAGGCTGCTGCATCTTGGTCAGTTTGGAGCTTCTAGGCTGAGTAGAGGAAGCAGCAAAACTGGTTCAGAGAATCATTGAATACCCTGAGCTGGAACAGACCTGCTAGGATCACCCAGCCCAGGCCCTGTCCCTGCCCAGACCCCCACCAAGCCCACCCTGGGCATCCCTGGCAGCGCTGTCCAAAGGCTCCTGGAGCTCTGGCAGCCTCGGGGCCGTGCCCATTCCCTGGGGAGCCTGGGCAGTGCCAGCACCCTCTGGGGGAAGAACCTTGCCCTGAGCTCCAGCCTGAGCTGCCCTGGCCCCTGACACAACCTGACACAGCTGGAGGTGGTGGCTGTTGCAGTTGGCAGCAGCTCAGGCAGGACAAACAGATCCTCCTGTCATTCCCTTTCCTCCAAAAGGACGGACAAAGAGCTGGCAACCAAGCTGTGAAACGGCACTTACAAACAGCCTGGGATTTTGCCAGCTTTTGAAGCTTACCCGGGTCACCACGTGGCCTCAGCCATGTCTGCTGCACCCAGAGGCTCCAG